GCAGAACTTTCTGCGAGCCCAGCTGCGTCAACTTTGAACTTCCCTACTGTCCAGTTGCTATATAGGGTCAGATAGTACGGATATCCGAAGCCTGCAGACCGGAGGCATCTACTTTGCTCAAAAGACTACTACGCATAAGGTGACCTCGATTGATTCAGATCTCATGCGACAATGAATGTGAACCCTAGGCCATTTTTGACTAGTGCAGTCGCAGTGTATCCTGCTATCTGCAGTTACTTCGGGAAAAGGCTGGTAAATTCGAAATGGTGAAGAGCTTACCTACAGAATTTTACGCACCCTATCTCTCCGATGTTGCCAAAGAGCGGAAGCCAAGTCCCAGTAAGTCGTCATTTGGCTACGTGATTACCCATAACTTACCAGCTTGCGAAACACCTATTCAGTTCGTAGTCTATATCCTCTAGAAAACCGTCCGGGTGTGATATCGCTGCTCGCGGGAAAGCCCAACGCCACAACCTTTCCGTTGACTTCAATAAGATTGACTTCCTCCTCACCAGCGGATCCCTCACGCCAGATTGAGAATGAAATAAGCGGGAAAGCCCTCGCCGAGGGTCTCCAATATGGTCCAACTGCAGGCATCCCTTCCTTGTGCGAATGGATCTACGGCTTGCAGCAAAGAGAACATGGAAGGCAGAAGGATGAGGGTTGGAGAGTGAGCATAGGATCGGGTTCACAGGATCTGATATACAAGGCAAGTGTCGACGAGGTAATCTCACTGGTTTCGGTGTTCACACTCTGATGATTAGGCTGTGGTCGCTATGGTAAACCCTGGAGACCCGGTGCTCGTTGAAACGCCTACCTATGCGTAAGTTTGCACTCGTTCGGATGTGATATTCGTTCTCATGTTGTTGAAGAGGAGTGCTACCCATGTTCCAAGCACTAAATTGTGATTTAATAGGTATCCCTTCCATCATTATCAAACACAAATGTTCGTTTTAAACTTGTGGATTAGATATAGAGACTGATTCGCACGGAATTCGCTCAAAGTCGCTTCGGGCTATCCTCGAAAATTGGCCATCTTCTAAACCTAGGCCAAAACTTCTTTATACGGTGCCTGTAAGTCTTGAGGGTATCTTGGAGTTTATTGGCTCTGGCTAATGGATCGTCAGTATGGTTGTAATCCAACAGGTATGACGGCGAGCTTAGAGAGACGTCGGGAAGTGCTCGCTTTGTCAAAGGAACATGATTTCATAATTATGGAAGGTAGGACAACTGGCCTAGTTAACATGGCACATTTCTTACAGCTTGACTATCCATTTGCTCAGATGATCCATATTATTATCTATATTATGGCGACGCACCTCGATACCCCTCGTATTTTTCATTGGAGTCAAAGGAGCAATCAGAGGTCGGCCGAGTCCTGCGTTTCGACAGTTTGTCGAAGATCCTCTCCTCAGGTATTCGGATTGGGTTTGCCTGTGGTCCGGAGCCGCTCATGCAGGCTATAGACATGCATGTATGTTCTCAAAAATTATGACACCGATCAAGGACGAACACTAATCTTGGCTGGTTCACTTTGACCGACAACAGACGGCTGTTGCTAACCTGCAGACATCGTCCCTTACGCAGTCGATCACATTCGCGCTGCTGGATTCATGGGGATACGATGGCTTTATGATGCATACACGAGCAGTTTCTCAATTTTATCGCGAGAAAAGGGACGTATTCGAGAGTGCAATGAAGCGGCATCTCGAGGCTCTTGCTGAGTGGACCAGACCAGAAGCTGGCATGTTCTTCTGGTAAATTATCCAGACCCATATTGCCTTGATCGCACTCAGTGAGAATATTTTCAGGTTTAAACTCCTCTTAGATCCCACGGGGGAATCCGAAGGCGACTCAGAAAGTATCGTTAGAACGAAGGCATACGAACGAGGTGTACTTGCCTTACCGGGGACAGCCTTCTTACCGAGAGGGGGTAAGACGCCGTATGTACGAGCTGCGTTTAGTCTGTTGGGTCCGGAGGAAGTCGAGGAAGCTATCAAACGTCTACGTGAAACCGTCCTCGAGGCAAGACGAGTAGGCCCTTGATCAAGAATGGACCTGCAACCACAATTACCGATCTCCTAGGTTTGCGCCGACTTATTGGCTTAACTAGAACAGGTACTCACCTAATGTATAGGGGCTTATCATCTGCATTCTATGTCGTGAGGCGATTGATGAATGTAGACATCTGATCGAGTCATGTAGAATCACGAAGAATCACTGAAATGTCATGTAAAACCCTCGCTGTGAAGGACGCAGAGGAGATGTCCTTGATTCGTGAGACGCTGAGTGTCCGTGTAATACAATGGATGGTATCAACCTGATCCTGGCTTGAAGCATGGAGCGCGTATGTTTTCCACATTCGTGTCCACAGCACTGCTTTCCTTCCTTCATGACGGCAGGTTGTTACATCGCCTCCGCACTCTCCTACCAAATGGGGTGCATATCTGCGCTCCTTCACGATGTGATATACTGTCTAGGGTACTCGCGAGAGTCGCACGCTGAACTCGCGCTGAACGGTCCAAAGTGGTCTATCTGCAGCTCCCGAGAAAATATGGAAGACCGATCGCATTCCGCGCGAACAACACGAGGAGAGACACGCGGTGTAGTTTTCTGGTACAATATGTCGAGTTGACCGCCCAGAGTTCAGACCATAGCTTCCTTTTACCGGGGCAAGATGTCTGTAGCTAGTACGGTTTGTGAGGTAAGAATCTGCACATTTATTCGCTTATTTTCCCGAAAACACATGCCCTACAGCATTGCCATCTGAAACCGAAGTGGGGAAATCATTCATACTGTGGTAAGACATGTGCGGGTTTAGCCCTAGCATCGACCTCGCCGCCTGCGCTTACTACTCAAGGGGCCGTTCTTATGTGCATTGTAGGACGTTCGTCAACTGTAGCACTGCGGAAAACTTACGATTCTGTAATCTCTCTTCAGGGCTGTGGAACTCGTCCACGATTCACTGAAGCAGGTGGAAAGGTCCACCAGTACTGTGGTAAAAGATGCGCGGCTAGCGGACAGAAAGTCCCCACTCAGTTCACCGCACTTTGTATCGTAAGTGTAGACGTGCTCCTTCTCGCACATCTCACAAGTGCACATTGTATCGCTAGTTCTGCCACGCTAGACCGCGATATTCCGACGGTGTTCAGACACACCCCTACTGTAGCAAGACATGCGCTGAGAAAATGCCAGTGCCGGCTGCTCCCAAACAGAACTCACCTAATGTCAATTCGAATGGTCAGTCGAAAAAATGCCACTGCTAGTAGGTGACACTGTCTAATGCTTTGTAGGCATCTGCCAGATACCCGGTTGTGCGCAACCGGTGTTCACTTCCGCTAATGGACCGAGTAAATATTGTTCGCAAGGCCACAAAAGGTAATGAGTTTTCCTATTGTCGATGAAGTGAATCTGATGTTGTCTGAAAGCCTTGGGGAAAATGCTTGCCTGTGGTGTTGGCAAGCAGTGAGACAGGGCGATCGCCACTTCTGCGGACGTACTTGTGCAGCTGAAGCTCAAAGCCATGCTGTTACACTGCTGAATATTCCGGAGGATCATGCGGCTTTCTCCGGCAGTTCGTGGCGTTCTACTGACGGCGGGATGTCCACTGACCAAAGCTCCATATAGTTGCAGATCAGTTTAAGTCGTCTTGGAGACACAGCACTCGTTGCCCTCCAGTGAAGTACATATACAAGATAATCCATTCCAAGGATTCCATGGAGAAATACGAAAAATATAAGTACGTAGTTCACGCACTTGTCTCGATATCAGCTGAACACGATTCATTTGAAGAGCCGGAGTGGAAACTCGTGGTCATTTTAAATCGGCAGTCAGGTCCGCCGGAAACGAGAATCGTCGGTGGCATGGTACGCGTCGCACATGCGCAATAGGAGATAACGCGCAAGCACAACTTTGCACCGCTCCTGGCTGTTCCTTGTGCTCTATTATTAAAACATCCTTCGACGTAACTCTGACGGGCAAGCGCACCGGGTGGGGAAGGTAATATTGACTGACTCGACCGTTCATGTGGGTTGTAGAAAGCTCATCCTCACCTTAGATTTGGGAGTGGCATTTACACATCTTCGACATCGTCCAAGTGAGTCGTGAGATTTTTGTACTGTTTCATGGATTTGACTTCATACCAGGTCCAACGACTATTCGGCTAACACTGGGATTACCAGCTCCCTGAAAGCCGTGCTTCTCAACAAGGTGGTCGTTGGAAAAGGTTGCAAAGAGACCAACAACAAGACGTCTCTTACAGCTCCGCCTCCTGGTTTCGATTCGGTGGGTTTCATGACTTCTACATCGCGCTCTCCCTGATCGTCAGCTTCAGGTCCTCGGCGAGACGGGCGGTGTACTCAACTACGACGAGTTAATTGTTTATACTAATGATGCCATTCGGCCTTCCTATCTAGTCATGTACGAGCCGTGATTGTTCCAGTACTGTATACGGAAGGGCTAAACGGGTGGGACTTGTACTGCAACGTTTGTTAGGTACAAATATTTAATCGCATGATTTATGATAAATACAGTGCCCGGTGGCCGTTCTATATTCAGCGCGACGCGCGCGTCTTCCACAGAAGCCAACCGAGAGCTAGCATAAAAAATGTTAACACCAACCTAGTTCAAAAATTCAGATGCAATCAAGGGATCAACTAATTGAAAAGCTTACAACTCAACTACTGAGAATGCTGAACAAGAAACAGCTGAGCGTCTCATGCAATGAATTCAATAAGGAACAAAAAAACTCACCAAACAGAGTCTGCAGTTGGCTGCAATGCGCAATATCCAGACAAACCCCGGAAGTAGCGAGGGGCAGTGCGCCATTCAAAATTGCAGTACAAGCGACCCATGAACTCCAGCTGATCAGCGTCCATCCTGCCTGAGAAACAAGAGATGCTACGGGGTAGCCCGGGAGAATAGGGTAGACAATGACCACAGCGAAGAGGGTTGAAAATAGGAAGGTCCAACAACTAGAGAATCTGAAAAGCTAAGTCACTACCAACAGATTGGGGGCAGCTGCAGGCAGACGTAGGTAACGCACAATGTCAAGCAAATGCCACTTCGGGCACCTGCATTGGGATAATCACTGCTGTTCCGGTACACAATCAAGATCCAAATGGAAATGGCAGTCTATGACAGGGTTACCACACAGTACTATACTCAGAGCATCCACTTACCTCAACGATGCTGCACAGCGCTAAAAATATGTATAGAACTTATGGACAACTCAAGCTCGAGTCATACAGCTACCGAGCTGAGACTTACAGGGTGCGTACTTCTCAATCACCACGGCTTTGGGGCGTGTATTCGGATGCTGCTTGGCATACTGGGAGAGGAAGTAAAATCCGGCGATGTAAGCAAGCACCACAAGAAATACGACCACAGCAACGACGGCAGATGCAATCTGGGAAGAGGAAGCACCAGACATCTTCGAGAAAATAGAACAGTCAGAGCTCCGGAAAAAAATCTCACATTCGAAAGCCGCACCTTAGGCACGCGGGGTATAACGACTTCCGCTTCCTTCACCCTGCTTTGGGAACGGAAACGACTGAAGATTTTCAGAGAAGACTCAACAGGACCTGCCCCTTATAGATGGCTATAAAGCAGTGACCCATCCTTTACCGATCTCTGGTCCCCAATGCATGGAATGACTCGTCGATGGAACGTGGATCGCATCGTGTGATGCGCGATGAACAACCCGAACAGCAGGGCGACTGCAGATCCGTTGTATCTGTGACGAGAAACAAGACCAATATGCCGAGCCTAGGAAGTAAATGGCGAGGCGACTTCTAGTCCGGTCAGTTTCAGTTTTCTACTATTAAGTTTGACGCTCCAACGCCTTGGCACGTGTCATCCAGCTCAGTCTAGGCTCTGGCAGAAGAGTCAGAATCAGACTCGGACCAACAAGCCGACTTGACAGTCAAACCTATTTCGCTATTTTCTGTCAGAATCATGGCCTTGCGCTGCGTTCTCCTCTTGGTACGCTCGCGAGTCACTTCAAGTAAATTCGTCGAGATTGATATTTGAGACTGCACGCAATACCACAAGAGTCTCACTATCATTAATTACATTACTAGGCCCAGATCCCCGCCAGCCCAGATAACGATCATCATGATTCCCGATAGGCTCACACCCTCCACGCCTCCTCGATGTGTTCTAATACATGCCATAGAGATATGCGCTGCTGCGGTGAAATGTGTCACTATTAAGGCAGGTTCCATGTTGCGAGTTCGGCCAGAACTTCCTGCAACTGCAAGGACGCGACCGACTCGCACGCGTGCTGGGTGTTACCATATGACCTTTATAACCTAGAGAAGTCCGCGGCCGATCTTTCCTCAACACAACAACATGGTTGCTGGTGTCGCCACTGTACCTCTGTGCGATGTGAGGCATTTGCTATACGCCTACCTTCCCTCTCATCGTCCATTTGGTTTTCCTAGTATTGCCACCGGCGTCCAAAATATGGACAATTCGCATATTGTGGAAAAACGTGCGCATCCAAGGCCAAGATAGTGGACCCATCTGCGAAGATGTGTATTGTATGTGCATCAGTCGCTAACCCCCAAGCCATTGAACACTCATTCTCTATGACTCATACTCTAGGCTTGCAATACTAAACCCCAATACACCGATGCACAGTCCGGAAAAGTCCACCTCTTTTGTGGCAAGACTTGCGCTAGTTCTTACAAGAGTCCCCCTGCTCCAGCCATGTCGTCGCTATGTATAGTGAGCATCCCTGAACTTAATCTTAGTTGGACGTTCATGTTTTGTGTAAGTTTTGCCACAGTCAGCCGCGCCTCCATGATGGAACGAAATTACATGTGTATTGTAGTAAGACGTGTGCTCAGAGCGTGCGAGAGCCAGGATCCCAAGATGGCTCTGCCAGTGGTGAGTGACGTGATCATGCTGTCGGAGTGTTCTCAAAGTTATCTCTCCTAGGAATCTGCAGTATACCGGGCTGTAATCAACCCATTTATCAGTCCGCAAATACCCCCGGAAAGTACTGCTCGTTGAAGCATAAGAGGTATGTGCCATCCAGTGTATGAAAGATAAGAAAATAACAAGGAGACATAGCCTGGCAGCAGTAGCTTGTCTGTGGTGTCGCAAGGAGTCAACGACGAATAGATCATTCTGCAGTAGGACCTGTGCCAAAGAAGCGGAACAACAGGCTGTATTATTACTCGAGATACCAGAGGACCATGCTACTTTCTCCAGCGGTTTGTTCCCTTGATACTGTCAAATGTCAGAATATGCTAACCTTCAGTCATACAGTTGCCGACCAGTTTAAATCCACTTGGAAATCGGGTACCTGCCCACCCGTTAAATATGTCCACAAGATAATTTATCCGAAGGCCTCAATGGACAAGTATGACGCATATAGGTATACGATTTCTTCTGATACAATTCCTTGCATTCATAGTGGCATAGAGAAGCGGTTGAACTCCGTGGTAATTTCAGAGCTGCTGGCCGCTCTGCTGGTAATGAGAATCGGCGCTGGCATGGAACCAGGCGTGCATGCTTAATTGGAAACAAAGGTCAAACAGATTTCTGTGCCGACGTCAATTGTGCGCTGTGCTCCATCATCAGAACGTCTTTCGATCGTAAGTACTCTGGGAAGTCCTGTAGCTGGGGTACCGGCATTTATACATCTTCCACCCCATCTTTGTACGTGCAATCAGTCCCTCCCTTCTCTAAATCACATAATCGTTCATTGCACATTGTTAGGTCCAATGGCTTCTGCGCCAATAAAGGACCTTCGTCGCCTTTGAAGGCGATGTTACTGAACAAAGTTGTTGTCGGAAAAGGGATGAAAATGACCCAAGCCATGACAACGCTTACGGAACCTCCTGCTGGGTTTGATTCGGTGCAGTGCCTCATAGCCATCTCTCCAGGAGTTTACTTATATATCTTCCTAGGTTCTTGGAGAATATGCTAATGATGAACTTATCGTCTACAACAATGATGCTATTCGACCTTCATACCTTTTGGCATACGGGGCCTAATCGTGTATTATGATCTAATGATGAGTTGTAGATTCTGTTCAGATGGAGCTTCTGCCAATGAATACGCGACTATCCGTTTGCGTTGATTAGTATATCAGTGCGAGAATCGTATGCAATCACCAACATGCTCTGATTTTTTGGGCATCATATTCCCTATCTTTCCTGCTAACATTCCCTGGTGTTCCGGGGGCGAGTTGGTGATCTATTTGGCTGACCATTTGAGCTAAGCCCTGCCCCATTCTACTTCAGAAACTCTTAGTATGAGCTCGCGCTTGTGTATTTGTCTCAGAGCGTATTCACCCGAAGCGGTCGCATGTTACCATTGTCTATAGGAGCAAAAGGGAGCTCACTCGCGCGAGGCGCAAACACCGAAGCATCCAGCAGCTTTTGAAGCTGAAGATCACTGGAACACGCATAACAAGCGGTCTCGTACTAGTACGCTGTGTGGTAGGTGCAGCACGTAGAAGTATTATTATTAGGTTCCGTGTACACTCCCTCCCACCCAACGGCCATTCTCATGATGTATATACAGTGTTGGACACACGGAATAGAAAAACTAAATCAAAAAGGCATCCGAACCTGATGAGTCCTATTTGACTTCCGTCGCTTCATGACTCGAATCTGAGTCATTGGAGACAGCTCACAGAAGTTCAATTCCACGACAATGCTCACTTGTTGAGAGCAGCTTCCCTGCAGGTTCTGCTACAAAAATAGTCGGTCGTATTCTGCGGGAACTCGTGGCACATGATGCACGCATCGACCAGACTAGTGGCAACAGCTTCCCTGCAACAAAAAATGTTATTAAAATTGACAAACTAGTCTTGTGCCAGACCTGAACATACTTGCGATGCCTCATGGAGCAGAACTCACTGGTAATCCAGCCGTTTGAATCCACATAGACGGGCTCCATACAGCCTGGAATTTTGCATGTTGGAGGCGCGGTATACGGTGCCCCGTACGACTGCTGACTGGCGGGCCCGGGAGCGGCGCCGAGGCTACCTTGTGGCATATTGCCAGGCGATCCAAACTGACCATTGCCGGGCGATGAGGGAGCACTGGAAGGAGGCATTCCCGGAACTTGTGGAGGAGAGCGAGCGTATGCTTTTGGAGCAGCATTCACTCCTGGAGCCGGAGGTGCGGATGGCTGTGGTGCTGCTCACCGTCGTGACGACGATAATCAGCCACTGCCGCTCAAACTGATAGACAAGTTGCGACAAACGTACTACCAAATTTCCCGGCTGCAGCCTGCTGTATCTTCGCCGCCAAACCTCCCTTCTGTCCGGTGTTTCCCGCAGGGTGCAAGTTCTTACCTCGAGTTGCACCTGTCCAAGCGGCTGTCTTAGGCTGGGTGGCTGATTGCGCCTGGGCCTCTGCCGCACACTTCTTTCCGCAATATTCATGATTAGGGTGTTTGGGTTTCTGCTGGCAATTCTGTACACCATCCCCCTGAATATCAATGATATAGGTGACCTTGAGTCTCATTACTCACTGCACACAGAGCGTCGGTGGCTTGTGCCGCACAAGTCTTGCCACAGTATGAATGTCCACCAAACTTCGGTCTCTGGTGGCAAAACTGAACGAAACGTCAGTCGTAAAAGCAGATACATCTGGTTTGCGGTCTCACATCGCAGAGGGCACTGGGGGCAACAGTGGCGGACATTTGGTCGACGAAGATCTTGATTTACAAGGTCCGTGCCGCGTAGATGATCTCTTATATATGCACTATCTTCGACGCGTCTGGGTATGAAACCAGCATACACCAAGCTACTCATACCACATGCTGCACGCATTATCGCCCTGCGCCTTGCGGCCTACACATTGCACACCAAGCACATGCGACAACATGTAAATAAATAGGACCTCGGGAACAGGCATGTTCAGTAGGGCGAGAAAATAGTGTCCACAAACAGCGGTGAATTAAGGATGCGCGATGTGAAGCTCTTTGCGAAGCTGCGTACGCAATCTCACCAGCGCCTTTCCTAGCTGATTTTCGCCCTTTTTATCTTTCCCTATGCCCCAGAACGCATCTTGATCCGAGTCCTGATAAGACCGAGGTAGTATCAGTGTCAATGAGCTCTCTCTTTGGTCTTGCATTCAGTTACTCGCCTCTATCAAATCCGCCTCCCCAGTTTCAAGCAACTCTGCTTGTAGCTTGGCGTGTTGAGTGAATTTGAGCTTGAGGGTCTCTTCCATCTGGGACAATCGCAAAATCGATCCCTGGGGCATATCGTAAAGTTTTTCACGAACCTTCTGTATATTCACTTGTATCCAATCGCTGCGCACTTCGTTATTGAAACGACGAGCTTCCGAGAAAGCCACGCTTGGTCGATCGGAACATGTCCGGATATGCTCCGCGAGCAGCGGCCTGTGTTCCATGAACTGGTGAGATCCGGCGCAGGTGAGCCTAGAATATTAAACCAGAGAGGGTAGATAAACGAACTTTAAACGATTGGAACAGATGCTCGCTGGTCGGGTACGACTTCCCATTGTAATCCACTGGATGAGGAGAAAAGTTCGTAAATCCATAGTATGGATCATGCTTGTGATAGAACCAGATGGGCGAAGGTGTGGACGGCATCTGAGTTGATTGTGGAGTGTTGGTAGGAGTGGGGGCAACCGGATGGTTCACCCGTGACGCGACAGACAAATGTTTTCTGCCGGCTGGTTCTGACGATGCTGAGCGACTGCCCCAAGTATCATCCTCATTTTTCACGAGTTGGAGACGTTTGGATTCGGGGTATTCATGCTCTGAATCTGACTTGCGCCGGCGGGATCCACGGCTTTCGTCATCGCCGCCTAGGATCTTAATGTCCATGGATTGCGCCGCTGGGCGTGTGAACTATCAAACGTAGTTATATTGGTGCGATTCATGGCCTGGAATGGGAAAGATGCTAGCCTCTTGTGACATCACCTGTGCTCGCGAGTTCCTCGCACTTGCATCGACGACAGCCATTTCGATGTCTGCTGATCGTTCTGCTTGGCGAGTTACCTACGTAGCGAAACAAATTTGATAAAATTCATTCATGGGCACAGGTTGAGAAATACCAACCTGCGTATGTTCCACCTGCATTAGGTCAGGCGCCCTTGATGTTGCATCAGAGTACGTCTTGATTTCTAGTGGCCTCTGAGCTTGATGGATTAGCTAGACAAATCATCGTCAAGATGCTAACATATGACAAGAAACCAGCAGGATAGTAACCTGCTGCGATCCTACCCCCATTCGCATCGTATTCGCGGTCACATCTTCGATTGACATGTTGATATCTGCTAGCTGTCTTATCTCGCGATTTGACTACGCGAGCCGCACTGATTAGCATAACCAAAGGCTCGAGACGCGGGGGAATACGTACCTGTCGTGAACCCATCTGCATCTGCATCTTCTTCATATCCTCGGATGATTGTGGCGACTCACCCTGCGCTTGCATGTAAACATCGGCATACATCTTTGATAATTCTTCTAGTTCACGTTTTAGGGCTGCCCCCATGACTGTCTGCCAAATGTTCTTCTGGTCGTCGACCAGCTCGCGCTGTATCTGGAGAGTTCGTGGTTGCTTGCGGATGAGTCGCTTGAGAATGTCGCGTGCAGACGAAGACGTGTTATGCAGCCGTATTTCTTGCCCGCCATTGTCCATGATATTCTTGAACTGCGGCCATGTAGATTCCGTGGTGCGCTCGCCAAGAGTTGACTTTTTCCCGATACCTAACCCCCATCCCACGGAGACGAGAATCACATTCTGCATGAAATCCTTGCCGCAGAGTAGCTCAAACAAAGAGACGTCGCGTTTCCGGATCTCGGTTGTCGCGTTAGAGATGTAAACCATTCCGTTCAAGCGGCGGTTGTCTTTATATCTGTGCAATTGTTCAAATCTTTTCAAAATAAAACATGGCCTGTGTTCGCTCTCACTCACAATTGCGTCACAGTGTTCGCTATTGTCTTGAAACTTTGGACATCAGAGTGAGGGTTCTTACCACTGTTGAGTTTAGGTAGGATGACGAGAGTAACTTGTTGTCTCGAAACACTCGTCTGCACAATTGTGCACGATCCCGCATCGGATTCAGACTCGTTCATGTCGGATGAAAAGGCGGATTCAGTGCACAACTGGACGAACTGCACACCAATCAACTTGTCAGCGAAATCGCACGAGCGAATTGACTTGCACATACAGCTGACTTCATACATTCTTGTTCGCCCATGACTCTAGAATACTACCTATAAGTCATCATTCTACCATATGGACATGCAGACATACGCGATCATGGCTTCCTTTGGGCTCTCCGACATCGAACCAGACGTTGAGCCGCCCAATACTGGCGTGGGGAACCTAGTACCTTTCGACGATGAAGACCAGGCATTGAATGGCAATGGCATTGTGATGGCCCACAAGGATTTCCACATTTAACTTTGCACTACCTTGTGGACAATATTTCTACTTTGCTTCTCGTCACGAGGACAGCACGACCTGCCTGTCGTAAACTTGTGGTTGCATACGCCACTTTGGCAGCAGGCGTCCACGTTGTCAGATGCTTACTTGCGGTAGGCGCATGAAGGACACGAGGCAAAAGGACACACTACGACTTCTGATTCGCCTCGTGCTTTCATGTGCTCCCCCAAAGAATTCCTGACGTTGTGATAAGTATCTTCTCATGTGATACCACGCGGATACAGCCTACCACACATACAGACGAAGCATGCTAGATTCGTAAGATCGTCGAATGGGCTCCGAAAGTAACCCTTTCAAGCAGGTGGCGTGCATGTGTAGTTAAATCGGACCCAGGCATCAGGTGCCGATTTGAATAGTAGACAATCAATAACCTCGTGGGGCAAATCTACATTTCTCACTCAAGACTCGCTACCCGACACTACCGCTCGCGATGAATTATCCTAGAAGGCCAGCTTCGGATGAACTTTGTGAGGTACGCAATCGCAACCACAATGATGATAAAACGAACTCACCTCGAGGGTCTCATCCCAGGTATGCCATACCAGGCCGCGGTATGTGGACGAAACCGGCTATCAGCACCCATTCTGTGGCAGGACATGTGCCCGAAATCGACCAGTAGCTCAAAATAACAACAAAGCATATTTTGAATCAGGAGAAACGAGAGGACATTGGGGGCATGCGAGCACCTCCTTGAATGAATCGCGCATGGCAGGAGTAGATCAACAACCCAACCCATACGCACAAGGGTATACGTCAGGGACCCCAGCAGTCCCCAGTCTCCGAGAGATGAGCGCGGAAGAAGTCGCATTCCAGACCAGTTCGTCATCTAGAAAGTAAGCTGATAGTTACGACACACTCTAACCACCTCGAGTAGTTCTCTCTGAATTTAAGAAGGCATGGCGCGGGACAGGCGTCTCTGTGATGAAAATGGTGGAGATATCTTCTCCCGTGAACGCAATTTACAAGTACGATGGCTATCGGTAAGCTTACTACCGCTGAAACACCGAAAGATGTTGAACGAGGAGGTCGTACTTACAGAAGAGCACTCCAAAAGAAAACTAGTGTGACCGAAGCAACCACATATTTCAGTTCCCAATGCATATGTGACTTTGCGCTAAAAAACTTAGCGCTATGCGAATGGAAGTCTTGTGGCATCTGCAGCCCAATCAAAACGTCCTTTGAAACTTTGGCCTGTGGAGAGAAGTATATCCATGGGAGGTAAGCTTTTTGAGCTGGTGCAGACAAGTGAAGAGCCAACCTTTCACAATAGATATGGCGATGGAATTTATACGTATCACAACTCTGCTGATGCTGATAAATTCGCAACATCCTCCACTTCATCACCTTATCGAGTCATAATCGCTTGCAAGGTTTTGGTACCTAGCGAGACCCAAAAGGGTATGACGGGAAACATAATATTAGTGCGTACTCAGTGCTATACAAGGTCCACACTCATGCAATGCACTCACTAGGCGAACGACGACAGTTATGCATTCACCAAGAATGATGCGATATTACCCACACATATCATCCTGTATACGAAATGATGTTTTCGGTACCGCAGGAAGCTCCAGAGTATTATGGGCCTAATTAATTTGACATTCAAACACCATTCTACTTCCACTTCATGACTCACAGTATTCATATGCCCAGGACCCTTCGGCTTCCAGGATTGCAGCGTTGCAATTGTGTATAATCCCTCTCCAGATTATCTTGTTGGTTCGCCAGCGCGAACACAGGCATATAAGATGTCAAATCTATTGCTTAGAATCAGAAAATGGAGAGAGAATCCAGCATCTTTTGAGACATCAACCAACCCAACCATTCGATGCTGCTATACGTATCATATACTGAGGCCATGTACTCTTGAAACAAAAAAATTACATTACACTCACCAAATACTGAAAATCGAAAGAGCAATAAGACTGGATAGTCACTCATACTAAAAGACATAAACTTGTATATGGCATGTACGCTTGCAATTATATATGACCCATAGAGAAGAGCCACATGGGATTTGACTAGTGTGGGTGAGGGCAAGTCACACTATTGCGCACGCCGTTTAGGCGCGGTGCCTATGCCCAGTGTCACTACTAGCTGCTGGCACCGCGGCCTATACCCTTGTCTAACATGACTCGGTGGCCAGTACTTGCGATGGACAGATGGTTTTATGTGACATTTGAATTTGCGGTGAGTTGTTTCCAATTATCCTGCCGTACAGTGTGAGTGTGTGGCATACAGGCGTCATATCGACCCATGGATTGTCGCCGATGCGCGAATTCGTGCGGCGCGCTGCGGAGTGAGAGCGTCCAAAACAGGCTTCCGGTAGCTCGAGGCAAGATATCTGTTTAGGATAACGGGCATTGAGCACCTACCCTGTCAGACTTTGCCAGGACCACTGCTTTATTTTCGCGGGGGTGCTTATTTCATTCGGATCTACACTCCTCGCCGCATTTCGCTATTTGTGCTCCTCCACTACAATGCCAACGGAGTGCTATATTGGCGCACCCTCAACAATCTGGGCGTCGGTACATTGGTTCATACCGTTACCACCTATCGAATGGCCTATTTCCGACAGGTTGGGGAGAGCACAAGAGCAGCCTCGTGAACCCAGGGCAGGACATCGTTGGCACGACTCACATCAAGAACGCTCGATGCATCGTTCGAGTCGTTCTGAGACTGCGAGGCATGGAAGCCGGGCAAACAGTCGACATCGTTCGCCTTTGGCTGAGCCTCCTTCCCGGCCTCATCCTCAGAAACCTCCTTATGACGCCAAACTAAACAGGTTCAGCGCTGAAGGTAACACTGGCCCACCGGCCAGTGTCCCAGTGCGACAGGAGCACCGTCAAGCACCAATTTCCTTCTACCACAAACACAGGCCCTTCTACGAATTTACGAACTTTTCACCACATTCTGTAAAATACGATGGAAGGATGTACCCTACAGGTGAACATCTGTTTCAGTCTTTCAAAGTAGGTCGTCCTTTTCGTGGTCTTCAACTCATTCTCATTGTACTCTCAGTTTCAGCGGGACCGCCCGCTTATTGCCGAGCATATCAGGACATGCTCAGATCGCCCCAGTGTTGCTTTGTCAGAGGCTCGTCGGTTTCAGCATGAGGTTCGCGCTGATTGGTTTGAAGTAAATGTAAAAAAAGTATGTCTGCTTTAACGGCTACCGAAAGATGCTCAACCGTTTCCTAGATGGACGAAGTTCTATATCACAAATTCACACAGCATGAAGAGCTAAAGAATTTATTGCTCAGGACTGGGGATGCTCCACTCGTGGAGGTATGCTACTGCCCCTTCGAGATATATTTTTGACCTGTTGATCGCTATACAGGACTCAGACAAGGATGCGTTTTGGGGCATCGGCGCAGACAAGAGAGGTCGGAATGAACTTGGGAAGGCACTAGAGAGGTTGCGTTCGCGACTTCGCGTTTAAAATATGTGTATATATTATGAAAAATCAGAGTTATACATCCTGTAGGCTTTATTGCTCTGATATGTACACATCGCTTGCAGAGTCATGTCATATTACACGACTCGAGTTCGTGACACTGAGCACCGCCGCCTATATGAACAAAATAACTGGAACGGAAGCAAATGGAGGAATAGCACTATGCAACTCGCGAGAGAGGAAAAACCTGGCGCAAGAACTAACCTAATCAAAGACACTGAGCCGCCCACGTTCAATTGAAATGGGGACTTTGTCGAAACCCGAGCGCGAGAGAAGTGTAGGCCCTATGCATTTCTCGTAGGAACGCATACTCATCTGCAAAGCCCGTGAATGCCCATTGATTGGAGGATAGCTGATTTATGACATCGTCCCGTTCTTCATCAGGGTATTTATCGGATTTGCCCTCTGGGGTCGTGTAGACGATGAGATAATTGGGGCGGATGGCGTCGTCATTGTACACAACGCATTCCTCATAATTGAGGTCAAATCCAGGCTCTCCGGCAACTGAGTCGTACCCGGGAGGTGGCGCCGTGAGGTTGGTGAAATTGTGAACCATCCTTCCCGGCCGGCCCAATGCTACGCGGTTCAGCAACAACGCAGAGCACGAAGGCGACGCTAAGTTTTTGACATAATTATCCGCTTCTAGTAGCAAGTCAGAAGCCGTCCTAATTCTAGCATAATCGAAACTCACTCGAGGAGCATGCACTGGTGTAAATGCCGCGACCAAATCTACGGCCCGGTTGTCCACATGAGGACGCATAGCATCATCATCACTAGCACCACTCACCGTTTGAAAGAGTGATTATCGCCTGATATGCGAAGCGGCGCATGAGGTTCACAGCAGCCATCGAGAGGAAGGAGCAAGCTCACCACAATGTGATACCTTGTACGATTCGCGAAGGATTGAACATAATTTGCATGATGAAGAGTCGCATGGGTTGTTGGAAATCTCGCCGATGCCGCAAGCTCGAGTTGTACCATGAAATAACCATTGCTCATTTCCATCGGATAAGCTGTCAGTGCAGGCATGTTGTGCTCTAACGATGAAGTCGTCATGTCATCCTTAGTATAGCACGGAGGAGGTGCATACTTATAGCGGAAGTATGCTTCAAGACTCGAAGTGGGCATTATGACCTGAAATACCGCATGTACTTGAGGTATCTTTCGATTGGAATGTTTCCATCCATTATAGAACAGGTTCTCAACTAGATTTGTACTCAATGAGAAGGACAAAGGGGAAAATAAAAGGATCACCTACCGTAGGCATATTCAGGATGCCCGCATTGCAGTCGTACTAACTGAGAGCGTTGTCTGTCCATCTGGCTCTGCGTATTGTCTAGAGTAGTGTCTGGGCTGTGAAAGGGTATCATCTTTTATACCACAGGCTTTGGATCTAGTAACCATCATGATAGCGCGAGTTACCTACGAACGTCCCCGCATCACTTCACGCGCAGAATCATCTATGAAGTGCTGTATCATGAGCTCGATGTGCACGGTATGCTGAACAACACGAGGCGGAGTCGAGAAAACCACGGGGCGTCGCAAAGTGAATGATCGAATGCATGAGGCACGTCAAGACTTAAACTATCATATATCATAAAGTTCTACACTGCGTACCAGAATCGTGTAGGAGTACTCAATGCCGAGTCAAGACTCCACACGCACCAACCATGAGGGTGTTTAATTGAGCTTAACTATTTTATTTTCGCAAATCTAATTGGTGTGGGGCTGACGGACTACAAGCC